GACTGACAAACATTCACAGGTGAATTTACGAGCCGCAGAATCCAGCCTTTAATCCATTACCATCAACTGCACTAGTTACCTTGGGCTGCCATATCCCTTCCACTTTTAGTCTTAATATTCAGGAGACATGGCATACTGGATTCATTTTTTTTCTTAAAATAGCTTATAATGCAGCCATCAAACTCTGGGTCATTGGCCTTACCTGGGAATTTATCCCTGCCTGGCATTCAGATTGGGGAGATGAAGCCAGCCACGGTGAAACTGGAATGGAATTTCTTCAATCTCAAGGATTCAGAGGAAAGTGATCATCACAGAATCATAGAAATGTAGGGCTGGAAGGACCGCACGCGATTACCTAGTCCAGCCCCTCTGTGTTAAAGCACGACCAAGTATACCTAGACTAGTAAGGGCCACACTTTTCTAAAGCTACTCAACTTGTATGAGGGGGGAGGTACCGAGAGACATTGAACCGAACTGCAAACTTTGTATATGATGGAAACCACTTCAAGCCAGGGGGGTATGGCAGCACCCCAGTTCCAGCACCTATGAAGCCAGTAGTGATTTGTGGTGCCCAACTTGAGAGCCTTAAAGGGCCCTGATTTTTTTTTAAAAGTGCTGAATATCAGCCCTGCAAGGCAACTCAAGTCGGGCACCCAATAACGGAAGCACCCCAAAGCACTAAGCATGCTTGAAAATCTTGGTCTAATCTTCACTGTCCTCCTACTCATAGGTTGCTGCTCCCCTTCTAGCGCCTATTGCAAATTCCCGCACATTGTAAACAGTCTCTGTTTTCACGCTACCAGCTCTGAGCTTATGTAGAAAGGAGAAAAAAATCTCAACGATCATCAGCTAAAGGGAGACTTGGGCAACTGGGATTTCGTCCATCTCCTCCAGAAAGAAGTGTTTAACCTGCTAATAAAATTAAGTTCTCCTTAATAACCATATTTCCTCCGCTGAACAGCTATGTACTAAAAAGTTCCCGCAGCTAACCAAAGAGTTCCATTGGCAGAATCAGAAGCTTTGGCTGTGAAATTCGGGTATTTCCTGCAGTCGCTGGTTTAATTCACATCATGTGGCTCATGTACAATTCCTATCTGATTGGACGCATCACAAAAGAGAGCTGTGAACTGGTGGCAGCTGATACTATTACAGAATAGTTCAGCTGGTACCCCCGCAAGCTAGGTTACAAGCTGTGCTTGAAACACGTCATGCTAATTCCTCTTCGGTAGGGGATCTTGGCCTGAAATCTTTGCTCACATGTGTCAACTCTGTTCTACAATCCAGAGGTTCTTATGCCACACAGCACTGGCCCATCTGAGCCCCTTCCAGTGGGGTGCTAAGTGATGACGACCCTTTGTCAGGCCTAGTTTGGTCTCTCTCATTCTCTCCTGTTGGGTGGTGAGGGGAGGGGAGAATTGTATGTGCAGTGCAGGGTTTCGTTTTGGTAGGGTTTTTATGGTTGTTGGTTTGTTTGTTAACGTCCATTCCGCTTGGCAGGTCGAAGAAGCGTGCCTCGTGTTTGGAGCAGAAGGTGGGGAGGTTGCCGATGGTCCGTAGTTCATTCCACAGGTTCAGACCGGCCCCCTCAGAAAGCTGTGTCCCTCTCAAACACTGACTTACATTTTCAAAAGTGACCAGCGATTTTAGGTGCCTCCATTTTGTATGTCCAGCTCGGAATACCATAAAGGAGCCTGGATTTCAGAACATGCCAAGCATGACTGAGAAAATCAAACCCTTTCAAGGCATCTTGAGTTGGGCACTGAGAAACCGAGGCACCCAAAATCTCTAGTCACGTGACAATTTAGGCCATGGCCTTCAAGGGGACTTCTAGGGATCTGGGTCCTCCACGCACAGGGGGCCCAGCTACCATGGCAGTATGGCTCAGAGCAGCAGGGAGTGTGGAAAACTACTAATTGCTGCCAGCCCATCACACAAGCAGGAAGCACCACTATGAACCTCTCCTGTTGCAGAGGCAGGAGTGGGAGTCACATAACTTGTGTACTGTAGCTGGCATGCGCGGCACAACTGACCATGATTGAGTAAGGTTTTTTGGGGGGAAGGGCCCTGTATAGGCTTTATCCAGCTTCCTCAGTATCTATTACCCATCGGGGTGACTTGATCGAACTAGAATTACCTACATAGGGAGAAACTTTGATATAAGGGAAACTCTCATACAGCAGACAAAGACGTTACAAAAGCCAATGGTTGGACGTTGAAGTCTGCAGTAAGATAAGAAATAAGATGCACATTTTTAACCGAGAAGGATTAACCATTGGAACAGATTGCCAGGGGCTTTGTACCAAGACTGGGCGGGTCTTCCTGAAAGACACAATCTAGTTCAAGCCCAAGTTGCCTGGCCAAAGGCAACAATCACTGGTTATGGCGACAGTGCAGCCAGACACCTGCAGCTGGCCGTGCCAGCTTGCGGGACTCGGGCTGCGCAATTGTTTCACTGCAGTGTAGACTTCCGGGCTCATGCTGGAGCCCGGGCTCAGGGCCCCTCCCACCTCACAGGGGCCTAGAGCCCAGGCTCCGAGCCTGGAAGTCTACACTCCAATGAAGCAGCCCCACAGCCCGAGACCCGCAAGCCCAAGTCAGCCATAGCCAGTGTGTGCAATCTATGGCTTGTGTGATGAAGAAGGTTGGATTAGATGATCAGAATGGTCTCTGGCCTTAAGCTCCAGGACTGTTTTATCTTTGGAAGGAGTGGGGTGTGAAGGGGGAGGCTGGGGAGAATCCTTCAAATATTACAAAAGATTTATTTTAAAATATAAACATTCCCCTTTAACGTTAAAGTGCTTCAAAACAGTAACTCAAAACAATCAATAAAAAAGGTCCATGTTTGTAACCATGACCGGCCTTTCCTGTTTTCAGCACTAACAGTATCCCGCTGGAGTAGCTTTTTGGTCTCCAGCCTATTTATTGGTGTGCTAATGCTGTCTGTGCTACACATAAGAATCAAAGCAGAAAGTTAAAGCTAATCACATCCACAGGCCTTGCCAAGGAAAACAGGCAGCCCCCTTCCTTCTTACCTCGGTACCAGGGGAAGACATTTGCAGTTGTTAGAGGAGGAAATGCTTGTAAATCAAGAGAGTTCTGTGCCTAGGGATTCTTAGGATGCGGTATTGTCAGATATCGGAGGTGTCAAAACAGGAAGCGCTGAATCAAACTGCTAACTACAAGAGCAACGAGTCCCCAAGACGGGCAGTAGAGAGGAAGGATGATTTTGTGGTTAAGGCACTCTACTGGGACTTAACAGCTCTGGGGTGAATTCTTAGCTCCACCACAGACTTCTTGGGTGACCTTTGGAAATTGACATCTCTTTATACTTCAGTCTCTAGTCTGAAAAATTGGGATAATTAGCCTTCCTTTCTCCTTCTCTTGGTCCATCTATTCTATTTAGATTGAGAGCTCTTTTGGGGGCAGGGATTGTCTTCTAGGGCTTTTCTATACAGGGAAATTTACCCATAACTATTCTACTATTGCTGTTCCGGAATATCTCCCCAAGTAGGCATGCTTATTCCATAATAGCTATAACATTGTTAATTCACACCCTGTCTTATTCTGGAATAACTTCCCCATGTAGACAAGCCCTTATCATGTGTATGTACAGCATAATGGGGCCCTGATCTCAGTTGGTGTTTCTAGGCACCACTATAGTACAAATAATAATTCAGAAGGAATGAAAGAATGAAATGACGGAGCTGAATTGTTACGAAAAATAGTTAGCCTCATTAAAATCAGCTAGAAGTTAGCAATGTCCTTATTTTTAAGAAAGGTGCTCAGGGTGATCCTTAGAATTACAGAGCAGTAAGTCTTACCGCAAAACCAGGTAAACTGATTAAAATGATATGTAAAAATAGAATTATAAAACACCTTGTTGAACATGCTATAATAGGGGCAAACCAGCATGGTTAATGCTGAGGAAAACCATGCATCTCTAATCTACTAAAGCATGGCATAGGCTCCTAGTGGCTAAAGAAGAACTAACTGATATAAATTATATGGACTTTCAAAAAGCTTAAATGGCAAGAAGCGATCACTGTAGAACTCAATGAAAACCTTTATTCAATGCACAGAAGTGGTCAAAAATGCACGTAAAGCATTAGAATGTATAAGAAATGGAATGAAGAATAATACAGAGAATATGACAATGCTATTTTATAAATCAATGAGAAATCCTCACCTGCAATAGTGCCTTCTCTTCTGATCTCACAAAGGATGCAGCAGAAACATAGGAGTTCAGAGAAGGGAGACAAAAATGAGCAGAGGCCTGGAAAGATTTCTGCCTGAGGACACGGTAAAGATTGGGGCTGTTTGGTTTAAAGAGGAGATGAATAAGAGAGGATGTGAAGGAGGTATACAAAACAATGAATGGTACCGAGAAGGGAAATCGGATGCCCGTTTATCCGCTCTCATAATACAAGAACAAAGGCCTATTCAAGGAATTCAAAAGGCAACGCATTTAAAACCGAGAAAAGGAAATACTTTTTTATATACCATAGATCGGGGTGGCCAAACCACGGCCCGCGAGCCACATGCAGCTCTTTTACCATTAAAGTGCAGCTCACAGAGCCCCCACGTCTTCCCCATTCTCCACCTACCTGACTGGGGGTGGGGGAGCTCAGGAACTCTGTTTTGCAGTGGGGTGGTGGGGTAGGGGCTTCTGCCCAGCAGGGAAGGGGGGGCGTCTCAGGGCTTCTGCTCAGCGAGGATGGAGGGGGTGTCTCGGGGCTTCAGCCCTGCAGGGCACACCTGCTGGAGCTCGAGGCTTCAGCAGGAGCGGGGCTGAAGCCCCAAGCCCTGGCAGGTGTACCCCAGCTCTTGATCTTCTCAAGATTGTCGTATGCAGCTCAGAAGGTCAGTAAGTTTGGCCGTCCCTGCCATAGATAATTAGCAGGTGGAACTCATTGCCACAAGATGCTATTGAGGCCAAGAGTTTAGCAGCATTCAGGAAAGTATAGTGAATTATGTGTATAATGAAAACATTCACAGTTAAGTTAAGGTAAAAATATAAGAGATATAAAGCTTCTTGTCTTAAGGTGTAGGCCAACAGGGGCAGAATGGGGATTAGAAAGAAATATCCTTTATAAATAGGTAATTCCATACTTGTCCACTAGGAGGTTTCTTCCACCTTCCTCTGAACAGTATGGTACAGAGACAAGATTCTGGACTTGATTGACCCTGCATCATGAAATCATGGCTAAGTGATTAACTGCCTCCTCATGGAACTCAACTGAATTCACATTCGACTGAGCTCCTCTGTCCAGAGATGGGTAGAGAGTGGGGAGCTGCTGCCCAAACTTGGCATTGTGGCCAAGCTCTGACCTGGAAGGTCCAGAATTAACGTTATTAAATGTATCAACTCATTTCAAACACGCTGTCGCTTGTGTCTTCAATGCTGGAACTGAACTTCAGGTACACTCGAAGCAGCCACAGGGAAGCACTGCCTTGTGGAAAGAGCCTTCCTAGGCCGGTTGAGCAGTGAAGGTCCTATATAGTCTCCAGGGGAACTTCACGGGAGTGGGGCCCTGTGGGTCATTAAAGGGGATAAAACAAATTAGATTTCATGGACCTGTGCAAGAGGAGAGCAGATTATAAAGCACGTGCTAGAAATCTTTCCCTTATGTAAGGTCTGACTCCAGGTTAGCTCCTGGAAGTGCGCAGGGTAAGAAGTTGGGCTGCCAGGAAGAGTATATAGAGAATGTAAACATTAAGGGAATTGTGTCACTGACTTCAATGGGGCCAGCACTTCGCCTAAGGCCCCAGGTCACAAGGGTCCTGATCCTGCCTTCCTTGAAATTTAGTTCAAAACTCCCATTGATTTTCATATGCAGTATCAGCCCCAAAGTTCTTAGGCATGGGCATAATTATGTCCCATTGATTTCAGTTGGACTAGTCATGTGCTTAAAGTTAGGCCTGGGCTTAAGTTCCTGGCTGAATCAGGGCCTTCATTTAGATTTTTCTCACAAATTTGCATCTAGGACGTCTACTTCCAATTAATATTTCACCTTGAAGCATGTTTCCTTCTCCTCCACTTTTCCTGACCACGCTGCGCTGTGAGCTGCTTTCATTTCAGTATGGATGGCAGACCTAGGTGTTGGGAGGAAGGGCAGGGGCATGTCACCCCACAGGAAGAATGGTTGGGTGGCTGATTCTTTTTGGCAGAGGCGCATGGTCCTTCCAGATGACTGGGGAGCATTTGTTCAGTCTGGTTTCTTGTAAGAATCATTCTGAATTTGTTAAAGTTTGCAGGGAATCACTGAAATGTTTAGTATCAGAGGGGTAGCCGGGTTAGTCTGGATCTGTAAAAAGCAACAGAAAGTCCTGTGGCACCTTTAAGACTAACAGATGTATTGGAGCATAAGCTTTCGTGGGTGAATGCCCACTTCGTCGGCTGCATCCGGATGCATCCGATGAAGCGGGCATTCACCCACGAAAGCTTACACATCGGTCTTAAAGGTGCCACAGGACTCTCTGTTGCTTTTTACTGCAATGTTTATAATTTATTAAACAGGAAAAAAGCAAGCAGAAGGCCACGTTCATTTGTGAAAACACATTTGTATGCTGGGTACTAGCAATATTGTATGCTCTGAACATTTTTTTTTAAATGCTGGTAACCTAAATCTATTAGGTGAGTACATTCATTTGAAATTTCATAAAGGGACACAAGCATAAGTATTTGCAGGATTGGGCATTTAAATCTGCAAACACACTGTTAATTTGAATTTAAATATCTGTAAACATTTACGGTCTGGATCTTTGGCTAGTTTTAAACAGCACAGTTCTGTTGCAGTCAATGCAGATATGCCAATTTCTCCCAGTTGAATATCCAGTCCTTATGGCACCGATCCTGCAAAGACTTATGCACATACATCATTTCATGTGCTGTGAATGGTCAATGGGATGACTTACAGTGGATGTAAGTCTTGGCAGGTTTGGGGGTTTCTCCCCCACACCTGAGTTTATAAACATCAAGGTTACTAAAATAAAGGGCTTTTTTTGAAAATCTGATTTGAACTGTATTAATAATCCTTTATGCTATTTGTTCATATTTTTCATTTCACTCCAATTAGTCAAGGGGGAAAAACAGATTAGCGAGTTTCAATTTAGTTTCTTATCAGTTTCACTTCCAGGCTCTTATGCAGTAAGCACAATGTTATTGTTGTTTGGGTGCTGAGTATAAAATACACTTTCTGTAAGACAATTCATGACAACTTTCCTATCCAGATTTGCTTTTGCAGGACCCCTTCCTCCTGCCTTTCAAAAAATAATAAAGATCCTAGTTGACAGTATCCCTTTAAAATGAGAACACAAACAACCACACGCCCAGATTTCTTCATTCCAGGGGCTGATACTTACCTCGGAAAGGCCTCCCAGGGCTGGAGGTTCTAGTTGAACATTGCAAGAACAATAAGGATTTTTAGGGGCATTATGACTGGGTTAGTAAAACACAGCTGCCCCTGAAAGTCCCTCATTTTTCTTGCTGCCTCTCAGTGCCCTCCAGGTCCCTGTCAGCTAGAAGAGTTGACAGACTTGCTTCACTCTGGCTTGCTTGTGCTGTGTAAAACGACACAGGAAGGCTTCGGCAGTTTTCCCAGCCCTACTCTCCCCCACACTCCCGCCCCAGCAACAGCTCAGAGAGCCCAGCAGTGCTGGAAGTGCTTAGTCATCATAAACTTTGCCTTTCAAGCTAAATATTGTAACAATGTGGTTATAGGCGGCAGTGCAACCACACAGGTTTTTTATCACTAGCCCCCTTTAAGCCAAACGAAATGCCACTCAGCAAACCCTGCCAGATAGCTTTTTTAGCCTAAACAACTGGGGCATCAAACAAATAGGATTCTGTATTAAGAACACACAAGGAACAGGCAATCAGATCGGAGCTGGCATTTTTGGCTGGGGGAAGGTGCTTTTCTCCAGCTCAGAGAGACCGATATTGACAAGGTCATTCCACAGATTAGTACCGCATGTGTTAATACAGCACTCATGCCGTAATCAGAAAATAAACCGCTGTACGCTAACGGAAGGTCAGCCGTAACAATCAACTGTCAGTGGTAGGAAACCATACACGGCTTCCCAACAGCATCAGTTACTTTTGATTTATTAATAGAGGCAGGATGGTTGAGATTTATATTAGGGGATTATTATTGATTTTTCTAGGCGCCCCAGTCATGGCCTGGGACCCCTCTGTGCTAAGTGATGTACAAACAGAACTAAAAGATGGACCCTTCCCCAAAGAACTTCCAAGCCAAGTAAATTTTAAAGAGGCCTATAGGATTTAGGTGCCCCGCTCTTATTGAAAGTCTATGCGAGATAGGTACCTTTTAATTCCTTTGAAAAATCCCATAGTAAATCAGCAAATTCAAGACTGCACAGTTTTGAGTGAGAAGAGCAAGGCTTTTTGTAAGTTCACCAATAATTAAAAGCTTTAGTAGGTGGACTCAGCAGAAGTCCTGAGCTGATCCCCCAAATACCTCATTTTGCATTACATCTAAGGTGCTTACATGGCCCACATCTCCATTTTCTGAACGCCTCACAGCCTTTAATGTATTTAGCCTCATGATGCTTCTGTGGGGCAGGGAAGTGCTATTCTCCCCATTTTAGGGATAAGAACGTGAGGCACACAGAGACTAAGTGACTTGCCCAAGGTCACACAGGAAGTCTGGGCCAGAGCACGGAATTGAACCCAGAAGGCCTAAGTCTCAGGACAATTTCATAACCACTGATCCAGCCTTCCTCTTGTGCTAAAGAAGGTGCAAACCTTTCCCTGTTCGCTTCTTGGTAGTAGGCTAGGAAGAACGTCACTGGTTTGACAGCCCTTAAAACGTAGCTAGTCTCCGCAGAGCAACCGCCAGCAGCCCTCTGATCGTAAACAGAACAGCCTTTGCTGTGCCCCCTGGTTGCCCGGCACTGTGTTGGATTCAGTTTCCAACAGGTGTGTTAACATTCATCTCCAAAATAAAGTAAGCTAGGCTGGCACATTCGGCTGCTTTCTCTGTACAGAACTGCATCTTGTTTGGAGCTGCTGAAGCTCCAAACACGTCGTCACCACGGATACAGCTGGTAGGTTAGCGATTCCGCTTTGCATGCAATGAAAATGACTAGATTTTACACACTCATGCAGACGCCAATGAGGTGTAATATTAGTTTTATATCTCCCATGGCCTCTGGTGGGAGACCACATTCTGCAGCTGCAGGCAATGAGAGTTCAAAACGGTCCATAAGCCCCACATTATTATTTATACAGACCATTTTTATTTTATTGAGATTTTTTTCCCAGGGCCTGATATACAAATAAAAGGGAGTTCTTGGTCTGCATTTGCTAATAAAACACCAGCCAGGCTTCTGAGCCAAAAAATGTATTTGCATCTTTTAAAAATGATGACAGCAGTTAAAAAAAAAAGTGATAGCTCCGTGACGACACTGGTGGCCTAAAGAAAGCACAACGGCAAGGTCCGGTGCAAAGCAGAGCGGAGTCAGGGCAGCGGAAGGCCCACTTTGGAAGCTGGCTCATTCATTTAAGGAATCTATTCTTTTGTAATGAACACCAGGTCGTTTTTGGACCCAGATTAGAAAGCTGCTCTTATTATTTGCAAAGGTTTGAATGGGGTTTTCTTTATTGATTAAAATAAGCAACCTTCTTATTATTCTTTATTATTCTGGGAGTGCCTAAGAGCCCCAGTCCAGGATCATGTCCTGGTTGTGCCAGGTGCTGTACAGACAAGAAACATAGGAGACAGTCTGTGCCACAGAGAGCTGTCAATCTAGACATTAGACAGGACACAACAGGCAGATGAAACGGGACAAACAGGGTAACAATAAAATGAAGAGAGTTTAACAGAAAAGCAGAAATCACAGAGTGAAATCCTGGAGTCACCAACATCCGTGGGGCCAGAACTCCACTCACAGGTTATTATTCATTTAGAGCATTATCTGCTAGGTGATTGGTTCTTCCAAACGGTCAGGAAGGACAGTCCCTGCTCCGAGGAGCTCTCAAGCTAAAAGTTTTTGGATTGAAAATTCCTCTTTGGCATTGCAAGTCCAGACAGAGCCGCACTATGCGAAGTGCCCCCGAAATGGAAAGCAAGACCCAGCAGTTTAGTTTCACTATCCAAGGCCCCAAGTCAACAAAAGCATTTAAGCGTGTGCTTAGCTTTAAGCAGGTGAGCAAGCCCACTGTCATTCAGCAGAGCGCTTAAGCACATGCTTAAATCCCACTGACATCAGAGGGACAAGTCGTGTGTTTCAAGGTAAGTTTGTGCTTTGTTGGCTCTGGGCCTAACTAAGCTCAGCAAAATGCAAAAATAAGACAAGGCAAGGGAAAAAAAATCATCATCAAGCATGAGAAGTGAATTAGATTTTTAAAATTCTTTCAGCTTTAATCATCTGAAGGGGTCGTTAATAACAGACAAAAGGTTGTTTGTTTGTTTAAAGCATAACTTTTACTTTGACAGTTTCCTTTCCAATGCAAAAAGTGAAAACAAAATGTTCTGTACCCCAAATAAAGGTGCAGCTCCTCAGCTGGTGCAAATCAGCAGAGCCAATGGACCAACACTAATTCACACCAGCTAAGGAGCTGGCGCTTTAAACTAAGCAGCCCCTCATCCTGCTCCCGCTGGAGTCAACGAGAGCTTTACCGCTGATCTGAAGGGCAGCAGACTCGGAACTCTCTCTATTTTAAACTAGACCAAGTGCAGTTGAAAATACGTTAACAGTCTGAGAAATCTAAAAACACGTTACATTTCTTAAAGCTGAATCTGATTGTATTTAAATGAGCCAATAGACAGAACATCAAGAAAACGGCTGACGCTCAAAGATGTGGCCTTGGAATTTATTAACGTCTTTTGAGAGATGCTGGCAATGCATGCATCCAAAAATCAGTTATTTATGGTATTTAGCCTCTAGAAGAACATACTATCTTTATGAATAGAGCCTTGTCTCCGATTTGTTCTTGAAATTATGATTGGGGCTGAGCATCGTCTTAAAATGATATTACAGATCTCCAAGGAAATATTAAATCAGTGACCTCAGAGTACAAATAAACGCATATAACTTCCTGGCCCATGCTATGTCAACCATGCCTCATGCAGTGACTCAAGCAATGTGCAGTTGCACCAGATGTGGAAGATAATGCAGACAGCCATCAAGAGGTTACTAGCTCAGAGAGTCATGCAAGTTACTAGCCACACCAAAAGGCAACTGTTTAAAAAGAGACTGCCAGGCAGGGTTGATGATAGGTCTGAAATTAGACCCAACCATTTTGGTTTGGGGGGGTGGGACAGCGTGTGTGCTGGCTGCACCCTCCTGTCGCTCTGCCCAAACCATTCTTGTGAGCAAAGCCAGTGGGAGGAATGGAAGGTCAGACTCCACCCTTT